GCGTAACTACATTAAGTTTTTTGTCAGCAAAGAACAGTTAATTTGGTATGTCATATTTTGGTCTATGCAAAATTAAAAGCCATTCAATGAAATCTTATGATCGTACATAAACGCTATAAATATCATGAAAGGAAACATTTTTTTATACAAAACCTGCTTGGGCTACCATTCATACGCCATCTGAGAGATACTCATTTATTTATCCTAAGGTGTTTTGAAAAAAAAAAGTGAAAAAGTCGACAATATCTATATAWGTATACAGTCAATCCAATTAACTTTGTTCACTTTTAAAGACATAACGACAACAATCAAGTCATTTGCATAAAAAAAATTTCGATTACCGCGAAGTATTTTGATTAAAAAGTTATAAATGTCAATGTCAATCACTTTGTCAGGAAGTTTTTTTTTAACTTGAAGATGAAAAATCTTGTAAAAAATACAAATATGATGTATGAAAACAATTTTGTTGTTGTCTTTGTTTTTATTTTTTTAAAACTGAACAACGTTCATAGAATTGACAAACCATAATCCAGGCCCGTAGGCTGCCTTAGAATTTTCTTTTTCATAATGCGGTCTCTAAATTAAATGTTTAAGTAAATTAGTTCAATGCACAGGTATGGTGTGTACGAACTGGCTGCTGGAATGAGTAGTTCATAACAAAAGAATTAAATAAAACAACAATGAAAAAAGAGAAACACCGGACCTTTTAAGCTTGTGTGGGGGTCCGTTCGGACCCCCCCTTCCCCCCAGCCTACGGGCCTGTAATATACTTCGCTTCATTCGGTTTTCACTCGGGTCTCAATCGGCTTTGATTCGGTTTTCATACGGTTTTCCTTCGGTCTTAATTCGGCTTTCATTTCGCATTCATTTCATTCATATCATTATTCCATCCATGTCTTTTGTCATTTCTCTCTTCCTATCCCATCATTTCACTTTTTCATTTTCCTTTAATTGATTTTCATTGACTCTCATTTGTTTTCCTTTTGTCTGTCTGTTCGTCTATATGTCTTAAAATCAAATAATCGTTTCTAACATCCTCTCAGATAGGAGAGAGTATGACTTACATATACATCCTCTTGAAAACCAACACATCGAATAATACAAGAATCAATTAGTCTAGTAAGTGTAAATATTTGATCAGTTTGGCTTGATTATCAGAGCTTACAATCACAACGCGGTCGACAGGAAYACAATATCCCTCGTGCACATATTAAAAATCTATTTAAACCAACAAATTAAGAAAGAACTCGAACAAAATACACCACTTTTAGCGTGATAATTCTAAAATTAACAGTTTTCTTTAAKGGGCAATTGCTGTTTAGAWTATTGCAACAATTCGCGGCACTTTTTAAAAGGCAAGCGAAAACGAATTGTTCAAAATATATTGAGCGACGCTTGCCTTGGTGAATTCTACTGACAAGTCGGTATTTTTGCTCATCTAAGCCGATCAGTAAATAACAAAGTTTTGTTGATTTTGAGTTTCCCAAAATATCCGGCACTCGGGGACAAAAAAGGATGTTTTGCACTTCGTAATTTTTATTATAATTATTGCGTAAGTTTKTCTAGAAGTTACYATTCTTAATCTTTGGATATTTTTGGCGCTTAATCGTCGATAGGCCTTAAATAATGTGTTTATTTACATTTCTTTTGATATTATATTTGTAATTTGTAGAATTTTATGAATTAGTTCACAGCGTATTGTGAAATTCATTTCAACTTTTTAATTTTCAATTTTTTTTTCCTTTCAAAGGGGGAAAAAGTGTCCATTTCAAGTGTGTAATCGTCCGTAATGGTTCAAATCGTTCCTTTTATGCGATCTCTAGGCTTCCAGCCACTTCAATTCTCAGCAGTTATGAGGATGTTGCTATATCTGTCACCCGGAGGCAGGATAGATTTCACCAAAAGTGACTTGTAGTTTGAATAACAGTGCACACAAGACATAAAAATCAACCAAAATCATTTCTTCCAATGTCGTATTTATGAATCCCAGTCGCATTGATGAAGACAAAGATTATTATTCACTCTTTCTTCAATAAAGAAGACGGGTGAATGAATTCATTTTGGGAAAGGCTTTTTCAAGATGCCTCTCATAATATSAAGTGGTTGAAAATTATTCATTTTAACAATAGTTTTTTGTCTTTTTTTAGCTGACTACGAGGTGTAAAACAGACAAGAAAAAAATACGTGTTTTTAAACGCAAAGTGACAGATTGGYAGAAGCCATSAACATTTGATGCACATGTCTGCTTATTAAATTCCACGACGCTTTACCCAAAGAATTTCATCCATTGCGTTATGATTTTTTCGCAGCTTTTTGGACTTTCAAAATCTTCGTTTGAAGTCGAGATGTCGTTTAACTTTACATCGATGAAATCAAACGGCACGTCAAATTGCTCCGTCGGAGGATTATCGTCTATTTGTCGCCTCGGGAAAGATAACTCGATTTCTTCGAGACTAGCCGTCATATTCCTTTCGTTTTGATTCAGAGGGAATGAAAACCGTCGTTTCGTGCACGGGTTTKGTCTGCGATTTGTAGTTTTATTTAACCCAAATGGTATAGGGACAAGGGAGGATTTTCTTCGACGTACTCCCCCAGTGGTTCTTGTTGATGGGGATTGCTTTGATTTCTCTATCTCAACAACATCTTTCCCTCCCGCAGGCGTTCTCGTATCCAAAATATTCCGCTGCAACTCAGCCTCATCTATGAAACTTTGCTCATTTTTGAACTGTGAACATTCCTCTTGATTTGGCTTGATACTAGTATCGTATAATAGAGGATCTGAATGCCTTCTCTTTTCCATATCAAAATTCCTCTCGTGTTGAACAATTTCTTCATTTACAGAAATCCTCGGAGTCATTGGGAAGGCGGKTTCGTAGGTACGTCCGCTAAAAAGAGTCCCACATGGAAGAGTCGTCGCCGCGCTCAATGGAACCGCGGGTTCCGAGAAGCGTCTCTTGCGYGCCTTGTCGTAGTTGAAGTTACCCGAGACGTTGATTCGTAAATACGACCCATCGCGATACACAGTAGGCAACGGCAGCGAAATGGCCCTCGGTTTGTGACTGTAATTACCGTCTGTTAMCTGTGTGTTCAGCAACGATGTATCAACAGAATTACAAAGCGGCAAATCATCTTCCGTCTCGCAAATAGTTCGTAGACTAAACGGTTCAGCRCTGGCCCTTCGATGCTGCCCAACCGTGTTATAAAATGGAGTTTTCTCCTGTTTAAACTGCGGATGAGTCTTGCGRCCGTAGATGCTTTCAACCATGGTCTCTTTACAACACACGCGTGGTCTTTCAGCTGTGTATCATTAACTGTGCCCACAATAACTCCTTGATTGTTATCCCAGTCTTTTTCGGTTGTACGTCGAATTAAAAACCCTTTTGGGCTGATTTSAAATCARCGTTTCTAAAGATACTTTCCCGGTTTTCTTCGAGCGCGTTGGAAGGGAAACACGTTGTCAATTTAAACTGAAATAATGAGAAAAGCTAGCATCGTATTTGTTATTAATATTGATCGAGAAATTCACAGTTAGTACATGAATAAACATCACCGCGACAACTTCATTAATTTTGGTCGAGAAAAAGTTGCTTAGATCCAACTGTCCATCGAAAATCTCCCCAGAACTTCCTCGCGAAAAGAAGAAAATCCCCTTTTCTGAAAAAGGTCTTCCGATTACATTCGTTGCCTCAAGGTAAATTAAAAAAAGAAAACGGTATAAACGCTCTAATAAAGAAAGAAAAAAGAAAACAACAAATTTTGTACTTATTTTGTAAGTCTAACCGAGTTGTTATAGCTGTTTTGTACATTTTAGTAAAATACTAAGCCAGTTTTCTGACACCTTAACGTGTGAAAATGCCAGTTTTTTGAATATAAATTGACAAAGGTCATCAAGGTATATCGCCTTATTTAATGCAATCAAGGGGATCTCTAGATAACTTTCTAAAAATAGAAACTGTTTTCTGAAAGTCTCTGGACAGATGCTTCAAAATTGGCAGGTTTTTGCTTTTTGTTCATTCTAGAAGTCTTCCATTAGAGATGAGATCAATAGATTTCAAAGAGAGATAGCTAAAAAGGTATAAGTACCATAGATTGAAATATAGAGGG